AGCGGTGGTATTAGCTACTGCTTGCGTTAATTTCCCTCGTTAAGCTCGGAGCGTACGGAAATCTAATTGATAACGGACTTCTGATATCGGCCCATCTCATGACCGCGTTTTCCCAGTTCTAGTTTGACAAACTTCTTCCAGGAAATGATCGTTGTTTGCTCTTAACGCGAATATCCGTGTTGAAACGTCGATTAGCATCCCTCTTCTTCTCTCTCTCTCCCTCTCTCTCTCCATCTGCGCTTGAAAACAGCAGGTCGTTCCCGTCAAATGCAATCGCGTTCTTCGAACAGTTTCAACATAATCGAATTTGGGCGCGACAATTATCCGCTAAATTAAACGATTAAGTGCTTCCCCGTGATCCATGGAGAGGCGCGTCGGATCAAAGTTGTACGACCAAAGTTTAACGCGAGGCGTGCTTAATACCGTGCGCGAGCTGCGTCGAATTGTATCTTTAGAAACACGGGCGCACGGAGCCCTCCCCCAGCACAGGTAAATTTCTTGCTGCCAAGTTCCTCCAATTGCTCATCTTTGTGCGCTGTTCTTCCTTTAATCTCACGCACGCAATTGCTTGTATGTAATCACAAGGCGTTATAACGAGCACGCTTCACGCGGCGCAGCTCGTTAGCACTACCGACGCGTTTCATCGTTGTTGAAATATCATGTTGGCGTTCCGTCAGGATCAAAAGACGAAAAGAGACGAGAGAAGTCAAAGTCGGGGTGCGACCACGTGCCATTTTAGAGGTGCCGTTTCGGTGTATCTTCCTTTTCTCCTTTCTTTGATATTTATTTTTTGTTCTCTTCTTTTTTGCTTGTACTAAATATATAAAGTGAAATGTGCCGTATGTATAAATATGACATTGCATATAATCGCGAGATTAATCACGGCTCTGTGATGAATTACATGGCCGTACGTTGATCTCGGTGCAACGGAATAGCAATTAGGTGTAATATTGTACGATATATCACGCTGTTGTCAATCGATATTGATTATTTTCTGGCCTTTAGCACGCGAAACCTCCATTTCTCGATTCCGTAACAAAAGTCGTATTAGAAAATTGTGGCCGGCGACGTCTCTAGAGATTGTCTCTTGTACAGTCCGCACTGTATTACCTGTATCCAGCGGAAAACATATGAATTGTTCTGTCTCCGGGAAGATGCATCCTGCGCTCTCCCGTACGTATCCAATCCACTCCCCACGGAAACCTGCTAACGTTTACGAGAAATTAGCGATATTAACCTACTGAACATCCATGAATCTGCCGCAGATCCCATGAGAATCACCAAGATCAATGAACGGGTTGATGGCAGATGTGCATGTACGAATATACTGTAACAACGAATAGAAAATACAGTGTAGTAACGTTACGAGCTGCACTCAGCTCGGAAAATAAAAATAATATACAAAATTGTATATCTTCCAAAAATAATATCGTTCCAGTAGTTTTCAGCCTATGTTATTTTTATCTTTAATTATTTATAAGTATTGCATAAAGTCAGACAATTTATATAATTGCGCTTTGGCAATATATATATATATATATATTTTTTCGGTTATTTCTTGCGTCATAAATATACAATAAACATCCTGAGTATCACATTAATGTAATGTTTTTCATTGCAGGCCACTTCGCTAGTGGCCATTTCTTGAAAATGTTTCCCGGGGATTTGAGGATAATACACGACTGTTGGATTTCTGGGAAATAGTACGGTGCTTTGAAAATTACGACTAAGATAATTTAGGGAAACTGGCGCGAAATTGCGAGCGCGAGCTCGAGCGCGAGAGAAATGTTTTTCCGATCAACCATGCGTGTCGTCCAACCCTTTTTCTCTCTCTTTCTCTCTTTTTACATTTTTCCTTTTAACAATTTTTACATCCCCTTATTACTGTATACTTTTATTCTAGGAAATGAAATAATACTGGTTTGGCATATATATTTCAGAATATAATTTAGTTATAAACATCAATCGACGACGTTGTGTTTTGAAAATTCACAACGATTTTATATTTAAAAATACCTTTTGGCGCATTCTATTTTTAAGCAATTAACAACCAGATTGATCAAACTTAGACCTTGCCACCTGAACTGTTGGCTATTCGTATTACTATCTCAATTAAAATACAATATAGTATGGTAATTGGACTGACCATTGGAAGCTACAAGAAACATACCTGAGGATTACCTGTATGGTATTTAAAAAATAACTAATGGCCAGAATGGGTACGCGCGTCGATGAAGTCGTAAAAAGAAAGTCGAAAAAGTCGTCGCAGCGTTTCCGGGAGGATTAGCGCGCTTAACGCGTTACGCTGAAAAACAGGGAAGGAAAAAGAATGGCAGAGCCACAGCGGCGAACAATACTGCGGGATGAGAAGTGGAAGACGGCTAATGCGCGTCCACTCTGTTACAGATAAATGGATTAGTTAGTTAGGACGCGCGGAACGAAAAGTAAAAGAGCGTCAGAAAGTGCCGTCAGGAAGGGTTAAGGACTCATGAAAAACGAGGGAACGAGGGGACCGATGATTCGGAGAGATGTACCGAGAGAGCTCGTTACCGCTACAATGTGTTCATTCCCTCCGCCGCTCGATCGAACACGCGAATCCGCTTTTCCTTTGTCTCCAAATGAAATGATTAATATTGACATTATGCGAGGAAGAGACGGGTCGAGATGAGAGCCAAACGCGGACCACGATGTACAGCTAAATTCAATCGTGGTAGACGTGATGAATGTGCGATAAATATCTCTCGCACAATGGCGCCTGTGTCAACGTTAATTCTATCGCCTCGGAAATGCGTCGTATTTGCAAATGAATAGCGAGATATGAAAATACATTTTAGAGTCTGCTGGAGGATTTTATTTTTCTTTTGAGCACTGTAGCTTATAGAAAGAGAGAGAGAGAGAGAGAGAGAGAGAGAAAATATGTGTGTGCGTATATATGTAATAAAATTCGCATTTTAAATGACATAATCTTGTGTTCCACAAAATTATAATATGGCCTGTAGTTATTGTGAAAAAAGAAACGACAAACAAAATTTCTGAAAAATTCGTAAATTATTGTAGAAAGAGAGAGAGAGAGAGAGAGAGAGAGAGAGAGAGAAGCATAATATAATTTTGACAGTTCTCAGACTTTAATGAAAATAAAAATACAGTGTTTAGCGCAAGCTACACATTTTTTACTCGCAGCATTGAACAGTGCGAACTCACTGAGCTGTAGTACGCTGCCAACGACGGCCAGTGAGGCACGACACGCTGCTATAATTCGCGGGTAGCTTTCATCAAGTTTTTCATAAAGAGCGGTCACTCGTCGGGCCGGATGTTAATCGGCAAAGCTGGTCATCGCTTCTCTCGCGTTTAACCGTAAAATCGCCTCTGGTGCTAGGTCAGGAATGCATCCTGTCGCTTTTTACCGCGCCGAAGGACGCCCGTTAGTTTCCGTAAATGACCCCGGGCACTCCGTGTCGACAGCCTCAATACCGAAAGAGAAGATTAATCCCTTTCAATGTGCGGCATCTTTTTTTAAGTATTCTCTCCCCTCAAAGGACGGACTAGCTAGCAATAATGGGAACGATGTATGTCCAGAGTCGCTCTTTAGGATTGTTCGATGAATTGGATGTGCATTCGCGAGACTTTCAAACGCCAGGTCTCTTTGAAAAAATCTGCCGCAAGATGATCTCTGACATACTATTGATAGCTGGCGGCTGTATGATCGGTGTCGGTCGACGAATAGGTGCAATTAAAATGGGCTCTATGCAAGAATGCCGCGGGCGTGTTGCTGCGACAACAGCAGGGTTCTGAATGCGGACATTTTTGACTGTAACATTCTTCTTAGTCGTTGCGAGATTCTGATTTTACACTTCTTTTACACTTTATTCTACAACAATGGTCAAATGACGACTGACACGATAAGTTTTCTTTCTAGCATTCTGAGAAACAGAGTTTAATATAATATGCAATGCGCGGAAGTATAATATTTGCTATTGGCTGTGAAATTTAATGCTATACCGCTGTATATGTATACGTATATATGTGTCTATGCATGTGACGATACGTACGATACATACACACATATCTAATATTATTGTCATTATTTATTATATGGACTTTGTGCTAAAGTATCTCCGGTCAGGAAGCATGTAGAGCAAAAATGAAAAGAGTTTTGTTACGTAATTGGAGCCCAAGGAATCGATTGAGACCACTTAGAACCCAATCGGATCAGTCGTTATAGCAGAACGAGCAATCTTGTTCAACTAAAGTGCGGTTGCGTAAATAAATATACACAGTCGACCTCATTGTTCGTTCGCTCGCACTACATTAGAGCGAGACATTGTTGTGTTTCTTAATCATATACACCCATTATGTACACAATGTATGTACATAATATTTTAATAATAATTTACCTGATATAACTGATTTTTGTTGACTAATTTTGCGATATCAATCGATAATCGATAACGCGTGTGTATGTACACATACACGCGTGTGAATAAATTTACAATTTAAAGTTACATAATAAATTCTGTGATTTATGATACTGAAAATCATGTAGCAAATTTTAATAAAATTAAGTTTTAATTTTAATTAATGATATTTCTGCTAACATAGTTATGTATTAATCATTATTAATTTAATTTAGCATTCTGTTACATTTGATTACATAATATAGGGAAATCAATATCCTGTTTGATGAAATAGGATATCTATCGATTTACCTGAGAATACTTTTATCGAGTCGAAGAAGTGAATACATTTACGGGAAATAATACTGCTAGCATTGCAGAATAAATTGAAAAAAGAAATTACTTCGCATATACAAAGGATCAGTTTAACCCAAGAGTAATATTAAAAGCGTGCGTATATAGGAGATTCAGTTTAGTTCAGAGCTTACAGTTTATTAGCATAGATGGACAAACTTTGATCGTTCGGGAGTATTATTAGCGGAATAGGATAACGTCCTGCTGTTCCACTTTAAGGATTAACGCGATCATGATCGTACTTACTTTCAGGTGCTATATTCACTCATGACCAAAAGGATAGCAGCACGGAGCTGGCCTTCAAGTACGCCGTTTACAAGATCAACAAAGAGAAAATTATTCTGCCGAAGACCACGCTGGAGTACGATATCCAATACGTGCCGAAAGATGATTCCTTCCACGCTTCTAAGAAAGGTAAGTATTAGTCGTGCGTTTTATACGCACGCGATGTATTCATTTTAATGTATCGTATGTTTTATGCGCTGCTTATATATTTCACGGATAAACCGCTTAATTGTAGTACCATTTGCATTTCCGTAATCCATGTCTACGCAAGAACCCGCAATTTGTACTGAAACTTACAGCGCGGAAAAGTCTCTCGTGTAATGAAACGATGCCGCGTCGCATACACCCGTAAGAAATTCCACTAAAGTTAAAAAACGTCTCACGCTCATTAATCTCACGGTACTCCGCACGTCAGGAATGATTTATTTCTGAAAGCTCGCTTATGTTTTCAGTTTGCAGTTGAAGAAAGTTGCAAAATGTTGAGACGTGAGGTGCGAATAGCTTATTTCCGAGACGAGACTCAATCGTTATTTTATCCCGACGTTGGAAATATGCACGGGAGAAACAACAATGGTTACAACGACATTAAAGTCCTTGTAACCATTTGAACGACATTTATTGTCAAGATAAATCGCGATCGATTAGCTCCGTGAAAATTCTTTTAACGTGTAAAGAATAAACAGATTAAATAACGGGCTGCGATGATCAATATCCGCAAGAAACATGGCACGTTTGCATAAAATAGGAGCAAACGGCTGGTTTATCGGCTAGAATTATGGCACTCGTGAAAACATTTCCGGATATTCTCAGAAATGTTATGTTTTTAACATTAGACATACTCCAACATAATATTTTTTAACATGTTTTAAACAAATGTTTAAAACATTTTTTATTCTTTATTTTTTAAAGAAGCGTTTGATACGAATTTTACGTGTGTTATCATATCTATTTTTTCATATTGTAAAATTTGACTTCACATTTACTTACATTATCGATCACAAAACTTTTGATAGAACAGCCAAATTTTTTACGACCTTTTATCGCTACGACAGCTAATTTTAATAAATAATCTGCTGTATGTATATGTTCTGTGGTATCTATTAAATAATTCCTTCTAATATGTCCGTTATTGAGACGCAAATAATTGGCTTGAAGATTACCCCAGCCATTTATCGCCATAAAAACTATTTTATCTTTCAAATTGTTTTCTATATTTTGTTTGACAAAAATAAAAATATTATCATTATTTAACATATAAAACATTAAGTGGATTGCTTTAGAAGAAAAGGATAAAGATATGAAGCTAAAAGACAGCGAAATTCAGAGATTTATAATAGGAAAATTAATAATGAATATGTTTAAAATACATTTTTATATTTTCCAAACATATTTTATTGCAATTGTTTAAAATATGTCCAAAAATTAAAAACAACTTTTAACTAAAAAATTTTGAATTTCGCCTTTTTTTTAAACTTGTTTTTTACCAACTCTATATAGGTATCCTGAATATTCTGAGAGTTTTTTTAGTTGACGTTGCTACGTCACGCAGTATAAGGCATTGCCGTAAGCAAAATTTATCGTCTTGACGACGTATATAAACCGACCAAGAATAACCGGCCTGCTCGACGCGCGTGCTGTTATTAAAGTAGCGTATATACATTATTATCTTTCCAGCTGCTATCGAATACACACCATTAGAATATCGTCTATCTTGTTACATGACGTCGTTAGGAGCATATTACCTCCCTTGTCAACCTCTCGAGAAATCAAAGAGACAAGATCGATATTTCTTGCCGTTACGTGTCGCGAAAACGCGGGATGATTGTGACGGGCTGCTTGCTGCTGCTGTTCTTTGATTATTCTGATATTACGAATACTTTGTAAGAGAACACTGTGTTTGCTAGACTTTATATAGAAAGCTTGCGCAAGTTAAACGCTCCATCATTTTATTCAATTATTTCCGATAAAGGGAACAATGTATGTTTGAGAAAGTATATTCGTGCGTACGTACACAGAATTCACGGTTTTACGATATATATGTATATATAGGGGCAGATGTTTATAATTCAAATCGAGCTATTTTCGGAAGCATATATTTAGCATCGAAAGATTTAAATAATTATGTCAATTAAGTGACGCCTCGACCTCTGGATGACTGTATGATTTTAGAGAAAGTGCAAAGTTCTCCCGTATTGAAATTTTGGTCCTATATTAATCCTGCAAGTTTCATCAAGCTTGAAATACCACTGGAAGATGATCTTTAAGCTTCGTTAGCAACGCTTTCTTCTCGCTTCTGCGTTATTTTTTTTATTGCGCCAAATCCGAATTTAAGTTTAAATTTCTTGTGATACATATTGAATATGTGACTGCTATTTTTGCCTTTACAACTTCTCTCTTCTCGCCCAGTCTGAACGTCCAAGTCCTACCAAAATATTTCGAGTCTGACATTTTTTCCTTCTTTCTCTAACTAAGCGACGACCGTCACATTGAATGTCTTCATATGCATATGCGTGACATGTCAAGTGTGCACACTGCAAATAATAATTCCTAGCGCTGATTATGCAAATACTACGGAACAGCGGCTCTCTTATTTGTATCCTCGCGAAAATGGCTTATATTCAAGATTCACGGTGAAACACAACAGTGAGTCTAAGTAATCCATTAGTCGCGCGCGCTGTTTTCGCCGCAGCGCAGTGCTTATAATTAATCCCGTGAGAGAATCGGTCGAGTAGACTTTCTTCTTTTTTTATTTACGTTCCTCCTGACGGTTATCCGGATTTACGTCATGGTTAATTTTGCATTAGGTCGCACCGAAGCGGACCAGGCTGCTTTATTTCTCGGAAATGGATTTTACAGGATGCTAATCCGATGACAAATAGTCGTGTTTGAGCAGCGTTCATGCATATTACGGCCAAGTTATGTAAATTCTTATAAATTTATAACAATTCGACAAAAAGAGATTAACTTCCACTTTCAGGTAAATATTAATACAGGGATTTTAGTTCTCTTCGCCGTTTTCCATCTTTGCTTTCGTTCATGGTGCGTTTTGTGATGCGATTCGTTTCAATAAACGAAATGCACGCGCGCTCTTGATGTTTAACAAAAATGAGACGTCAAACGCGTTCGACTTTTGAATGAGATATTTGTGCGGTTTTCAAACGACGTGTCAGAATTTTTGCCTTTGCACTTTAAACGTCGTAAGTCGCATTGAACGGAATTTTATAATACTTATAATACTTATCCTAACAATATACACATACGTACCATATAAAGTCGAGAAGGTTTCCTCGATGCTGCGGACGCGATATTTGGATAGCGCTCGTCTTTGTTGCTCTCGCCTTTCATACGTATGACGTGCATATTGCGAATTTATGGAATCCGATCCCTTCAAATTCACTCAACGTAACTCGTAACTTATACATACATTTCCATTTCCATTTTACATTACTCGTATACTGCCGGAGATTTTTGTGATTCGATCTCCGACCTGTGTATGAGATACACGGCTGTGAGCAACTTTTATCTAAAATATTATTTCGGATTATTTTATATGCTGGCGCGAAATTCGCATTATTGGTAATACAAGAGCCAGACAAGACGTGTAATAAAGTTTTATGATCTCTTAAGCGAAAACTTTATTTACGTGTGTTGCATGTACTTCCGCATGTATATGAAAAAAATATCAACTTCATTTTGAAGCAATATCGCATTTCCGAGACAAGTAATATTTAACCGATATGAACCTGGTAAGCAACATGATAAAAAAAAATTCGCAATACGATTCGATCGTATTTCGTTTGTACCACTTTTTGTTTCGTTTGTACCTCGAAGGATAAAAAGATAAGGGAAGGGGGAAAATAGCCAGCAAGTAAGTACAAGATATCGCAAAACGGCCAACGCCATTCGAAAGAGAATCATTTCGTACCCGTTTGTACCTCCCTTCAAATCGTTTGTACCTCAAAGGAACCGGAAGTACAGGATCTTCAGAAAACGTCCAAGAGGTACTTTCGCCAATTTTTGAGATATCGCAAAACGACCAACGCCTTTCGAAAGAGAATCGCTTGTACCCTCGCTTGCACCTCTCTTCAAATCCTTTGTATCCTAGAGGAAGGGAGGTTTTGCGATATCTCAAAAATTGGCGAAACTACCTCCTGCACTTTATATAGTTACATGTGTGTGTGAATTTTCTTCGATTTGCACGCTAAATAATGCGATAAATTTAAAATCCAGTAAGACAAACGTCGACGAAGAGGCAGTTTATCTACATTACCGAACTTTAATCGAAATTTTTGCGCATCGTGTGACAGTTGGCCGTAAGTTCCGACTGGCGATTGTTCACTCACACACATACACATACGTGCGCACAAGCATATGTTAGTTTGTTAATAGCAGTAAATCAAGGCATGCGACGGCAACTCCGCTGCAATATTGTAATATACGTGTATACTTTCAATTGCATACGACCGGAGGAACTTTCGTCAGTCGCCGCAGTGGCATTGGCGAACCTGTGCCACGGAATGGCAACATGGATCGATCGAACGTATAGGTACTGTGAACTGGAGTAGGAAGCCACTTCAAAACCAGTCCATGTCACTGCTCGTCACAGTTCGCTCGATGTCTCGCCATCGAGGGTTCTTTCGCAGCGACTTCTCATGAACCCGTTTGATGACCGTTCGCGGCAGCGCAAAACTCTCGAATTTATTATCCCGAGCGGTTACGTGCTCCGATGAGCAGAGCGCTTTTAACTTCCTGCCGTCCGTGTGATGTAAAAACGACAACGGAATTCGCCACTCGGCCGAGCTAATTCCAGCTATATTTTTATACCGGTGCAAGTCTCACGTGAAACTTCTATTATCCGGGTATCGAGTGCAGCGAGCATCGCGATCGCGGTCGAGTTACACTTCGATTCTCGCCGAGTCGAGACACGGACTGTCAAAGAGCTGTCAATTCACACGGACGATTCGCCAGGATCGTTTTTCCTGCCATCAGGAAATCTCAACGCCGGAAAACTTGCAAAATTGCCCGTGTTAACGGAAAGTATATCTATCCTCTGACGGTCGGAAAATACGGCTCCCCGCGGGATCGCCGCGCATCATCTGCGCGTGTCGATACATCGCGCGGGAAGTCCG